TAAAATCATAGATTTCTGGGAAACTGATCTTACAAATTAACAAAGTCTGATTAAGGGGAAAGCTGATTAACTGGGTGGGAAGGAGAGCATAGGAAAGACTGTTTACATGTTTACATGTAAACACAATGGAAGTGGAAGTGCCTCTGGAGCACTGTGGTGGGTGTAACCAGATTGATGGGTGTAACCAGATTAATGGGTGTAACCAGATAAAACCTAAGCTTCTTGAAGGACAAAGCAATGTTACCCAACACTCTCGGTAGCTTGCCGGGCTCTCCGAGAGGGGCGGAGGAATCGAACTCTGGTTGGCCGCATGCAAGGCCCTACCTGCTGTGCTATCGCTCCAGTATTCAACATAATATTTTGATACATATATAGATTTCAAAATAACACAATAAGGCTAATTAATATACAAATATCCTCATATAATTACCGTCTTTTCCTGTGGTCAGAACACTTGAAGACTACTGTGCTAAAATATTTCAAATACTATATTCTTATAACTCAGTTCCTTTGTTCAATATTAGGTCTTTGGAACTTACAAACTTTATAGCTAAAAAAGTGTGTGCCCTCTTTACATATCACCCACTTCCTATCCCCTGGTAATCATCATCCTACTCTCTGCTTATGTTGTTTATTTTGAACTCATACCACAGTTTTGGATGTGCTGTTCATGTCTTTTCAGACATTTATTTATTTATTTATTTATTTTTGACCTTTTAGGTCACACCCCGTGTTGCTCAGGGGTTACACCTGGCTCGGGCCCTGCACTTAGGAATAGCCCTGACGGTGCTTGGGGAACCATATGGGATGCCTGGGAATCAAACCTGGGTTGCCCAGAAGGCAAACGCCCTACCCACTGTAACACTGCTCAGGCCCCACTTTGTTGTTTTTGAGAGATTTCCTGAATCTCATCCTGGAGTTTACTACTTTTCTTCAACTGCTGTTGCTACTTTTCTTCAACTGCTGTAATCCTGTTGCTCAGGCTTTCTACTGAGTTTTTTATATCTTCCATATTTTCCTTTCTGTCACTTCTGGTTGTAGTGGCTCTCTTACTACCCCTGCCATGACTTACTTGGATATATTAAACATCTTCAACATGATGTCTCTAAAGTCATTCTCTGAGAGTTTACAGAGCTGGTTGGTACTAGTAGAGCCTTTCATGCTATTATTTGTACTCACTGAGCTTGGTGACCTTCTGGAAGCTTCCCTATTGTGTTTTCTATGTTCCTACTGCACTGAGGGTGAATTTTTGTTACACACTCCCCTTCCCCAGCCCCCTCCTTGGATCATTCTTTTTCTCTCCTGATGGTCTTCACCCAGTGACAGGTAAAGGTATAAGTGTATTCAGTGTGAGGTGGGGCTGTGCTGTTCAGGTTATATAGAGGTGGACATGTATCTTCTTATCAGTGGGATTGCATTGAATCTGTAATGTGCTTTGATAAGTACTGTGGATGTTTTAGTAATTTCATTTCTTCCAATCTATAATATCTTTTTTCTTAATTATTTTTATTTTCTCGGGGATCACTAGAGACATGGCGGCGGCACAGCGACGGCGTGTAGGCCTCCTGTGGAAGAGGGCGTTTTTTAGGGCGTTCGCCTTACAAGCGGCCAACATGGCCGACCCGAGTTCGATTCCTCCGCCCCTCTCAGAGAGCCCGGCAAGCTACCGAGAGTATTCAATATGCCAGACACAGTAACAACAAAGTCTCCAATGGAGACGTTACTGGGCCCGCTCGAGCAAATCGACGATCAACGGGAGGGCCTTTACCTTTACCTTTACCTATTTTTATTTTGTTTGTTTTATTTTTGGGCTACACTTGGCTATCCTCAGGACTTCCTCCTGGCTCTGTGGATGCTCAGGGATCATTCCTGGTGGGTTTGGGGGCACAATATGGGGTGCTGGGGATCAAACCCAGGTTGACTGCATTTAAGGTTGGCTGCATGCTCCAGGTTTACTCCTGATTCTATTGCTATTCCCCTTAATGTTTCTGATACTGACCTATTGCTATTGATATTTGAATCCAGCAGTTTTTTTTGAGATTCATGAGTGATTACTAGTAAATTTTGTACTTGTTGACATATAATGTTCAGTGTTCCATCACCTATCTCTCCACCAGTGTGCCAGTGTGGGTATTTTTCCCACCACCAGTGTCCCAAATATCCCTCACTCCCCACCTCCCCCACCCCCCGCCAGTCTGCCTCAATGGCTGGTGCTTCCTCTCTCCCTCTTTTTGGGCATTATAGTTTGCAGTCCAGGAACTGATTGCTTATCATGTTTGATCCTTTACTTACTTCCAGGACACATTTCTTTTCCAGAGTGATCATTTTTAACCGTCGTTGCCATAATGGTCTTTTCTCTATCCCAACTGCATTTTCCCCAGCACTTGAGGCAGCCTTCCAACCGTGGACCAGTCTTCATGGCCCTTGTTTCTACTGTCTTGGATATTAGTTTCATACTATTTTTTTTTTAATATCCCACAATTGAGTGCACTCATTCTATATCTGTTCCTCTCCTTCTGACTCATTTCACTCAGCATGTAGTTTTCATGTTCATCCATTTATAAGCAAATTTCATGACCTCATTTTTTCCTAACAACTTCCTAATATTCCTTTGTGTAGATGTACCATAGTTTCTTTAACCAGTCATCTGTTCTTGGGGCACTCAGGTTGTTTCTAGATTCATGTTTTTCTTTCTTTTGTTTTCTTTCTTTCTTTCTTTCTTTCTTTCTTTCTTTCTTTCTTTCTTTCTTTCAAGTGTAGGAGTACTGCTATTTATTCAGCCACTGATTAGCTGATTGAATTGTGCATGAACTCCACCTTCCTTTTTTTTTTCATTTTTTATAATTTTATTTATTGAATCACCATGAGAGCAGTTACAAAGCTTTCGGGTCTAAGTCTCGGTCATACAATGAAACACCTGTACCTTCACCAGTGCCCATTCTCCACCACCAAAAATCCCAGTATACCCCATCCCACACCTCCCCCTGCCTGTGGGGCAGATGATTTCCACATTACTCTCTCTCTACTTTGAACACATTCAATATTTTGACACCAGACCGACCATTATTATTTGAGATTTTACCCCAGCACTAGGATCTGCTGAAAAGGCAACAGTAGACAATTTGTGTTCTATTGCTGGTCATGAATAACATATGATGTCGCATGGCTGCACTAGGGCCATGTGATTTTGAAATTCCGAAATTTTAACACTGAAATCTGGAGGGATTTCTGCCAAAAGCCACTGGGTTTCGAGATTTGCTCCTGAGTCTCTGGGTTCATGGCCGTTGAGCAGCTTGATCAGGAGCCAGAGAGGCTGTTCGTGGGCGATGATTTGGGGTCTCGTTGGGGTGGGGAGGACAGGCCTGGCTCCACCCCCATCCCGTGAGGCTCAACAAGTTTCATCACTGTGGGCCCAAGCCTGACTGTCCAGTGGCCTCTGGAGGATGACGGCCACTGAGCCGCCAGGGGGAAGCAGGCGAGGGACAGCACCCTTTCCCCGCTGGGGTGGCCCGGCCACAGTAACCTACTGTGTGGTCCGGACACATTTCTGCCAGAAACCGCTGGGTTTCGAGATTTGTTTCTGAGTCTCTGGGATCATGGCCTTTAAGCAGCTTGATCAGGGGCCAGAGAGGCCGTTTGTGGGCGATGACTTGAAGTCTCGGGGTGGCGAGGACAGGCCCGGTCCCACCCCCCCATCCCGTGAGACCCAAATGTCTCGTCACTGGGGGCCCAGACCTGACTGTCCAATGGCCTCTGGAGGATGACGGCCACTGAGCCGCAAAGGGGGAGCAGGCACAGGGACAACACTCCTCCCCCCTGGGATGGCCCGGCGACAGTAACGTACTGTGGGGTCCAGATGCATTTCTGCCAGAAGCCGCCGGGTTTCAAGATTTGATTCTGAGTCTCTGGGATCAAGGCTGTTAAGCAGCTTGATAAGGAGTCAGAGAGGCCGTTCGTGGATGATGACTTGGGGTCTCATTGGGGTGGGGAGGACAGGCCCGGCTCCCCCCATCCCACGAGGCCCAACATGTTTCGTCACTGCAAGCCCAAGCCTGACTGTCCAATGGCCTCTGGAGGATGATGGCCACTGAGCCACCAAGGGGGAGCAGGCGGAGTGACAACACCCTTTCCCCCTGGGGTGGCCCAGCGACAGTAACGTACTGTGGGGTCCAGATGCATTTCTACCAAAAGCCACTGGGTTTCAAGATTTGTTTCTGAGTCTCTGGGATCATGGCTGTGAAACAGCTTGATCAGGAGCCAGAGAGGCCGTTCGTGGGCGACGACTTGGGGTCTCGTTGGGGTGGAGTGGACAGAACCGGCTCCACCACCATCCCGTGAGGCCCTGTGTGTCTCATCACTGGGGGCCCAAATGTGACTATCCAGTGGCCTCAGACGGATGGCGGCCACTGGGCCTCCAGGGGGAACAGGCCAAGGCACGAAAGCTGTTCCTACCTGGGTTGGCCCAGCACCGGTGACCTACTGCAGGGACCAGACGCATTTCTGCCAAAATCTGTTGGGTTTCAATATTTGTTACTGAGTCTCTGGGATCATGGCCGTTAAGCAGTTCAATCAGGAACCAGAGAGGGCATGCCTCCAATTATATAGCTGAGCCGGAGCTGGTTTGTGGGTGTGTTTCCCACATACCTAACTTTTGGCCGTTTACTTTCTTGGTAAACTTTGCCCGAAGTTTTTGGGGTCTGGCCAAAGGCACAGCAGCAATTTTGGGGTATCTGGAAGTCTGAAGGCGCCATCGGGCTGCTGATGCACTTGCTTCACAGGTACAGATAGATCTGCTGGCGGCACCATACCCCCTTTTTTCTTTCTTTTAAATCACTTTTTAATGGATAAAAACGTTTTTAGAGATACTTATACATTTTCACACCTCTTTTAGGGAAAAAAATAATGTGAATTAGGGAATTGAAGACAAGATAGTATGTGTATATGTATATATACATATATGTATAGTGTATGTGTGTATATTTATTTATGTATGTACGTATGTACATGCCAGGACCAATGATCACCAGAATTCCATGCAGAAAAAGTTAGCTTCTGAAATCTCTTGATGTCTATTCCACACACAGAGCAATTGAGCTGCTCTAGATATTCTGCTCACAACAGGAGCCCTTTGTAAGATAATTCATTGGAATGAAAATAAATTTGTTAAATTTGGGGGCCATACCAGGTAGTGTTCAGGAACTTCTCAGGCCCAATTCTCAGTTCTCAGCAGTGCTTGGGGGACCATGCGTGTCGAGGATTGAACTTGGGCCTTCCTGCATGTGGAGCATGAGCTTTCTCAGTTCTTTGATTGTTTCTTTAGCATGGAATTTAAATTTTTAAAATTTAAGAAGTAATTCATTCTAAAGACCACATATGAGGGATGGGCATTTGATCATTGTATAATTGAAACCCAAGCACAAAAATTTGTAAGTCTACAACTGTACCTCATGGTGTCTCACTAACAAAAATAAAATAAAGACCACATATGGCTATAGGAATATAATACTGATAGAAAAGGAATGAAAGAAATCTGGAGAAGGTGGGAGTTTGATTTGTATGTTATCCTGTTGTAAATATGGAAATCACTTTTTGTTAATGTTGATTGGCTGGAGGACAAAGTATAAATGAAATTCATAAATAAAGAGAGAGTCCTGTTTGTAGCAGGCATCAAGAAGACAGGATTTGAGTCACATAGGAGGAAGAGGATGATTCACATGAAAGGAACTTAAATAATGGAGAATTTATTTCTATAGTGTTGTATTTGGCATTTGTAGCGAGAGTACCAGGAATTGTATAAACTTTTAAAAAAGACTTGATAGTAAATATCTTAGACTTTTACTCTAACACGTGGTTTCTGTTGCATACTTTAGTTTTTATAGCCCCTTTAAAAATGCAGAGCTATATGCCCTACAAAATCAGGCTGCAGTTGAAGATTTTCTGAAGCATGGATATGAATTTTTACTGACTGTACTTTTCTGTGAATTGTCATTGATGCTTTGTAGAAATTAGTAACTTTTAATTACTTGGATGCTTAAAACTAAAGTAACAATAGGTATCTAAATTGGAAAATATCAAGATACTGTTTATTTGTTTTTTTTTAAACATTGTCCTTAGACTTGTCCTCAATTTCTTAGTATGGTAATATTTACTTTTCTTTTTGTGATAAATTAAAGTTGAGTCAACAGATATTGGAGTTATTTGAAGCATGTCAGCAGCAAGTAAGTGACTTAAAGAAGAAAGAATTATGTCGAACACAACTACAGAGAGAAATTCAGATGTTATTTCCACGTATGTTTACCTGTTTTGCATGCCCTTTATTCCTATTTTGGAATGTCTTTGTATTCCTTTTTAACAATTTAAATAATGTCTAGTAATGTTCTTTTTCTAGAAAGCAGACTCTTTTTGGTTGGGTCCTCTTTAAATGGATTTGGTACCAGGAGCAGTGATGGTGATTTATGCTTGGTTGTTAAAGAGGAACCGGTAAGTAATGAAACATTTAGTCCAAGTATATTTTTCATGTTAAGTTGTTTAAGAGGTTTAATATATAAGTCATTGAGGGATAATTTATTTTGCTTAATTACTTCTTTGTGTTCTCTGTGGTACTTCAGGGAAAGCCAGGAAATACATTTAAGATATATGCATAGTAAGCATAACAAGCTGGAGCGATAGCACAGCGGGTAGGGCGTCTGCCTTACAAGCGGCCAACATGGCCGACCCGAGTTCGATTCCTCCGCCCCTCTCGGAGAGCCCGGCAAGCTACCGAGAGTATTCGATATGCCAGACACAGTAACAACAAAGTCTCCAGTGGAGACGTTACTGGGCCCGCTCGAGCAAATCGACGATCAACGGGAGGGCCTTTACCTTTACCTTTAAGCATAACAAGAATTCTAGCATTAATTTATTTTAAAATTATTAAAATGAGATAGCTTTGCTTTGTGTTTTTTAAGACTCTACCTCTATTCTAAAATGTCATTGGATTGGGTATGTTATTAGGATACAGCAAAGAAGAACATGTCTTAGTTACCCTCTTGATATATTTCCTTTCTATTTGAAATCTCAATGATTTTATTTATGATCTTTTTTTCACTATGAAGTGGTTTTCTTTGTTTGTTTATTTTGGTTTTGGGGCCGCACTCTGGCAGTGCTCAGGTCTTACTCCTGACTCTGTGCCCAGGGATAATTCCTGGTGGTCTCAGCTCTGAGAATCATTTGTTGTATTAGGGATAGGAACTGGGTTTGCCACCTGCTAGGGAAGCTCCCGACCTGAGTTTGGAATTAATATTTTGAAATTATATAGAGAGATTTTACTAAATTTTAAAATAAGATTAATATGATTTAATTTATTCTTTTTCTCTGATGTTTTGGCTTTGTTTTTATTTAATAACCAAATTTTGCCTATTTGTATTATTTAAATTTAATGTTAACCAGTATATCCTTAATACCACAACAGTTGGCATTCCTTAATACTGTAGCAATTGGTAGTCACTAGCTTGCACAAAGCAGTTTATTTAATTGGATTTTTTTAATGAATTATAAAAAATACAATCTTTCAGTCTAGCTTCAATTTATACTTTTTAAAGTTAAGAAAACATTTGAGGGGGCTGGAGCAATAGGACAGCAGGTAGGGCATTTGCCTTGCACGTGGCTGACCTGGGTTCGATTCCCAGCATCCCATATGATCCCCTGTGCATCGCTGGGTGTGACCCCCCCAAAAATAGCAAAATATATGTATATATATATATATTTGAGTGGTTTTATAAATATGTGTGTTTATGGTGTTTCCATTATTCCACTAAGAAAATTAAGTTATTGCAAATGAAAGTTTTATTACAGGAATGAAACTGATACTTTCTAGGAAATATAATATAATATAAAGGAAAAGTGAGAAATAACCCTTAGAAGTAATAAACATATTGGAGAATACTAGTTTTAATTTACTTTGTCTCATACAGTTAGACTATATGCATCCATGAATTCTACCAGTCTTACTTACATGTATGAATCTTGTCACAGCTTAAACAGAGCTTCCATAGATTTGAACCTTAAAGAACTCAGTGTAAGGGAAAAATATAGAAAGTTAAAATTTTGTTCATTTGTCTTAGAGAAGATTACTTTTTGTACATTTATATTAAGTAGGAAATGACATGAATCTTTCAGTATTTCTTCTAGAATTCTGTTTGAAATTTAAAACGAGGAATTGATTTAGCTTCGATATGAAAGACAACATAAAGCTTGACTTTTTCTGTAATATAATTTACTGACTTTTTTAAAAATAACTGCAAAGAAAAGTATATTTTGTTTTCATTTTGTTTAGCTGTATAAAAATCTAAGCTAAAATAAAACTTTCTAAACACTAAGTTTAGAAAGATAATAAAAACTTTATTTTTAACTTTTCAGTGTTTTTTTCAGGTAAATCAGAAGACTGAAGCACGGCATATACTCACCTTAGTCCATAAACACTTCTGTACTAGACTTTGTAAGTCTGACATGCTTCAAGTACCTATGTCCTCTGACATAATTTAAAATGTCTCTTATTTTCTGGTAAAAAGTTGTTTAGTTTTATGTTCAGGATGGGTATAGTGTGGCTCCCTTTTCCCAAATAAATTTTTTAAAACCTTTTTATGAAAAAGAGAGTACAGTACTTTCTGGAGGGCTTGCACACCCAGGTGGTGCTCAGGAGCTTGGGGCCCTCCTGGCAATTTTGAGCCAACTGGGATTGCTATTCACTGTTAGCAAGGATTGAAGGATATGCTGCTTGCGCATGTGGTGCTGGGGATTAACCAGATTACCCTGGCAATCCTCAGAGACCTGTGGGGCCACATCTTGGGGATATTTGGAGGTCTCTCCTCTGTACCTGATTTGGGGAACCATATAATGCCAGCAATCCAGAGAGGGTGGGTTACAATCTTCCTACAATCTCTCTGGCTTGTTTCTAGTGACATTTATTCTTTTTTTAAATTAATTTTGTTTGGGGGGAATTTTCCAAGTGGTGACCAAAAGGCGTGGCCCCCTTTTTGATTATACTAGGCCAGCTAGGTGGCTCTTCAATGACTTGAGGATGTGCTGCTGCTTGGCCCCTGTGGTTCCGGACATTACCTGGTTCACTCCAGTTACTTGGGGCACATGGTGGTACTGGGCACCACCAAGACTGTACTTTGTGATGCTTGGGGGACCATGTGGTGTTGGGAATTGAACTGGGGCCACATGCAAGACATGTTCCTTAATATTTACACTACCTCTCTATCCCCTAATAATAATCTTATTGAAATTACTTGTAAGATATAACACTGAATTCATAGAGATAATTATCTTGAGATATTTTTCTTAGAAGAATTTAGACAGTGGAAGCTGAAAGCATGATTATAAATAAGTAGATACATAATATCTGTGAAAAGCCCAAACAGTAACTCATTTAAGTCTCAGGTATTTATGGGATTAAAATAATCATGTTTTACTGTGCCATGAAATGTATTACATCGGGTTTTAAAAATCTGATCATTGAATATGAAGTGCAAATATATTCATTTATTTTAAATTTCCACAGTGTACTGTAGACAGTTAAAGTTATTGTGACGTTTTAAAAGCATGTGTTTGTTCATTCAATAAATATATCTTCTGTAGCAGTATTTGAGATAGAAAAAGTAAAGCTAAAGAAAAAAGTTACTGCCTGGAAACTAGTTGGAGAGAAATAGTGTTTTATTCTAATAGTTTCTTCATATGTATCATAGTATTTCAGACCTTTTATGGATTTTAATTAGTGATTATTGGAATTAAAAATTATTAAAAATAGACACCATCTTGGAGATCACCTAATTAATACCCCCCAGGGTGGGGTGTGTGTGTATATTAATAGTTAAGGATGAATGACAGTCGGTTAGTAGCTTGTCTAAAAAGTACACTTTGTTGGTGTTAAAACCTGTATTTGTAAGACTTTTTATTCTAAATTTATTTTTCATTAAACCTCATTGAATTTCTGTGGCATAATTTTATGTGAAGATAGATACACTTGTATGGGTTTTTTTTTTTTTTTTGGTAAACTAAAGCCTTTCAATTTCTAAGACTAGCATTGGTTTTCTTTCATTAAATTAAAAAAAAAACCCTCTTATTTGGCAGAACTTTACAGGGTTTTCTTTGTTTCTTTATTTTTTGGGCCATACCCAGCAGTGCTCAGGGATAACTCCTGGCATTGGTCAGGGAACCTGTGTGGTACCAGGCATCAAACCCAGTTTGGCTGCATGCAGGACAAGTGCCTTACCTGCACTATACCTCTGACCTTACAATTTTTTTAATACATTTCTGTATTTTCTTGATTTTTCTACAACGACTGGTTATTTCAGCCCAAACAATTTAAGTTTGATAGACTGAAAATATGTGTATTTTTGTTCTTAGAGATTGTGTATTTTTGAATGTATCAGTTCCTCATGTTATGTTGCAAGCATTTCCACATTTACGACTATAAATAGTTTCTGTGGCTGCCATAATGCATAATCTTATGTACTGTACCAGAAAGCTAATTCTAGCTTTCTTTCACATTTACCACTGTTAAGATTTTTTAATTTTATTTTATTCATTTAATTTTGGGGGGATTTGGGCAAAAGTAGTACTCAGGGCTTTCTTCTGCTTCTGATTCAGGGATTACTCCTGGAGGGGCTCTCTGGACCCTGTTGGGTCCTGGGGATCGAACGCAGGCCAGCCACGAGGTACAAGGCAAATGCCCTACATGCTGTACTAATGATCCAGCCCCATGCGATGACTTCTTTAAACATTGTTATGAGAGAGATAGTATAATGGGTAGGGCACTTGCCTTGCTTGTGGCCAGCCCAGGCATTTCTAGGAAGGATTTCTGAATACATAGCGAGGAGTAACTCCTAAGTATTACCAGATATGCCCCCTCCCCTCCAAAATAAAGGTTATTATGAAGAGATAGTACAGTGGATAAGGTGCTTGCTTTGCATGCGGCTGACCCAGGTATAACCTGCGCTGCCACGTAAGCCCATGAGCACCACTCGGAATTTTAGGAGTAAACTTAACACATGCAAATACATATAAAGTCCTTTAAGTGTTACTGGAAGTTAGTCTTAGAAAAACTTAGTATTGTCATTTTTTTCTTGTTTTCTTTTTCAAAATCATATCGTATTAAATTGTTATTGTTTACAAAATAGTATTTTAAAATTTTCATTGGAACAGTATAAATTTGAGGAACAGTTATAGTTGTTCACATTATCCTTTATGTTTCAGCTGGCTACATTGAGAGACCTCAGCTTATAAGAGCAAAAGTGCCAATTGTGAAGTTCAGGGATAAAGTCAGGTGAGCAGTTTTTGAAATTTCCTTTTTTTAAGTTGCTTTAGATCATTTTTAGATATTTTCATATTACATAGCATAATAGCTTATCAACTTTTTAGAAATCACTTGATTTGATGCTTGAAATATTTTTAAAATAGTCCAGCGAATAGTTCTTTATATTTAATTGTACCGTTATACTGTTCAACAATTTGACTATTTGAAGTGGTCCAATTTAAAGAATATATAATTAAAAAGAAAAAGAATGTGTACATATTTATAATTTAGATTTTGAAAAAATTTCTGCCTTTTGAAAATGTTATATATTCTTAATTGATGAAATTTAATATATATTCATACCAAGGAATCTGTTAGAGTTATTCTGTGTAGGCACTGAATTTCCTATGTGTATTTGGAATTAGAGGTTTTTATATAGTGTCTGAATATAAAATGTAAGTAGATGACAGTACATTCCTCATTTCATTTATTAACAGATTTGTTGTTTATTAAAAATTATATAGAATCATGATATATTTTTTCTCAATTTTATGGTGAGATTAGTCATGTGAAGTGTAACTAAATATATACACAATTGATTCTCATTCATAGCTTTTAAATTTATGAATTTATCTACTAGAAAAATTAATTTTGTAGTTTCTCAAATTCAGTCTTACAGGATTTTGGTAATTTTTAGGTATGTGCTGAATGGGGAAAGACATTACCTTATGTCTTTGTTCCCAACCGAGGTCAAACAGTAGCCTTCTGCTTCTTGTTTTAGTTGTCAAATGTCTATTTTACAGTCAAGTAGCCTTCTGCTGCTTGTTTTAGTTCTCAAATGTCTGTTTTACAGTCGACGGAAACACTTTTCACAGTTTTTAGTTTTTGAACTCACATATATGGCGATAAAACTTCAAATAGGGACTGGGGGATTAGTATAGTAGTTTCAGTATGTGCCTAGCATGTGCCTGATCTGGGTTCAATTTCCAGTACCACATGGTTCCCTGAATATCACCAGGTACAGCCCTGGAGGCCCCGTAGCACCCCGTAGCACTGCCAGGGTGACCTGGCACTGTTGAATCTGAGCAGCATCACATCCTCCAGCCCTTGTGCTGGACTGTGGCCCAGTTAGCTAGGAATTGCTTAATGGGTCCCTGAGGAGACTCCCCTCTCCAAAATAAATACATGCTTGTAGTTACAATTTTATAAGCACTTTTATTCTTTTTCTCTTTGAGCTTATTATGAAAGCTTTCATTATTCTTTATAAGAACTATTCTTTTCTATTTTCAGTTTGAGTTCAGCCATTGTCATAGATCTCATAATTATCTCCCTATTTTCTAAATTTTGAAGTGCTTAGTATCTGCTTTAAAAAAAAAATTCAGGACAGAAAAACAGTACAGGGCTTAAGGCACATGTTTTTGAATGTGGCTAACCCCTGGGTTCCATCCCCAGCCACTTGGTTCTCCTAAGCACCATTGATGGCCCTTATTATGGCCCTGAGACCCTGCAGGGACTAGGTGACAAATATTTTTAAAATAGTCCAGTGACTAGTTCTTTATATTTAATTGTACCGTTATACTGGTCAACAATTTGACTATTTGAAGTGGTCCAATTTAAAGAATATATAATTAAAAAGAAAAAGAATGTGCATATATTAGGGGCTGGAGCGATAGCACAGCGGGTAGGGCGTTCGCCTTACAAGCGGCCAACATGGCCAACCCAAGTTCGATTCCTCCGCCCCTCTCGGAGAGCCCGGCAAGCTACCGAGAGTATTCGATATGCCAGACACAGTAACAACAAAGTCTCCAATGGAGACGTTACTGGGCCCGCTCGAGCAAATCGACGATCAACGGGAGGGCCTTTACCTTTACCTTTATAATTTAGATTTTGAAAAAAATTTTGCCTTTTGAAAATGTTATATATTTTGACAAAGATCCTTGGAACATGTCAGCCAAAAATTTGGGGGTTGCGGGATGGGCCGTGGTTTCAGGCCTTCATTTCACCACTTGGGAGGGTCTTTCCCCCCCCTCTTCACCCCCCCCCCCCCAAGAATAATACCTTCTGTTCATTTGTAAACAATTTTACCCTGACTGATAGCAAGAGCTAAATATAGCATATGGTATTACTTACTAGCCTGATTTGATTTGATTTGGTTTTGGGGACATACCTAGTAGTACTTGGGGTTTACTCCTGACTCTATACTCAGGGGTCACTTCTGGTGATACTTTGGGGACCATATATGGTGTTAGGGATTGAACTGTGTCTCTTGCATACAAAGCCAGATGTCTTACCCCCGTATTATCTCTTTGGCCCTTACTGATCTTTTTGGAGAATATAATATATTATACTGAATTTTTACTTGACTTTTTTATCCCTTTTGTTTGAAAGCAAATTATGTATTCTAAATTAATCGAGAATGTAACTTAGTGTTATAACTTGCCCAGAAATGTTATTAGTCACATAATTTTATCTATTTGGGAAAGACAGCAAAATAAAAAATTCCCTTTTTAAAGTAATTGGAATCAAAGATATCTTTGCAAAGATAATTAGATTATCTTTATAAAAGATAATCTATTAAAGATAATAATAATTCTTATTAGTACATTATAGATCATTCAGTGGAATTTATATATATATATATTTACTCAATCATGTTAAAATAACATACCAAGCTTAATTTGCTTCTAATATTTCCCTTCTGATTTCTTTAGTGCCTCATTTTAAGGTCTTTGACTGTGGGGCCCTTGTTATTTTGCTATTTGTTATTAATGGGTAGTTGTGTTTAGGTATTAAATTGTTACTAGTGCTGTTGTTTAAATTGTACTTGAGGTAAATTTTTTTTTCTCTCTTGCTGTTCTGGGGATTAAACCCAGTGCCTTACATATTAAAATCTTTTCCTTATTTTAATAGTTGTGTGGAGTTCGACTTGAATGTAAACAATATTGTTGGAATAAGAAATACATTCCTTCTAAGAGCTTATGCATATCGTAAGTTTTCTCTTTATTTTCAAATATCAGTAACTCTGGTTTATCCTTTACTCTTCATTTTTTTTTTAATTTTTATTAGTGAAACACCATGAGGTACAGTTGTAGATTTACAATTTTTTGTGCTTGGGTTTCGATTATACAATGATCAAATACCCATCCCTCCACCAGTGCCCATTTTCCACCACCATGGATAATATCCCTCCCCCCCATCCCCCCCATCCCACCCTGCCTCTGTGGCAGGGCATTCCCTTTTGTTCTCTCTCTCCTTTTGGGTGTTGTGGTGTGCAAAAGAGGCATTGAGTGGCAAACATGTTCAGTCGATAGTCTACTTTAAACAACTTCATTCTTTTAAAGTATGTTTGTGATTGTGCCAGAGAGATGATAGTACAGTGGTTATGGTGCTTGTCTTGTACACACCAGACCTGGGTTCGGGCACCCTGATGACAAACGGTCTCCTGATCATCGTCAGGAGTGATCTCTGAGCACAGAACAAGGAGTGACACCTTGTGGAGTACTGCCAGGTTTGATCCAAAAACAAAAAAAGTTTTTGGTAAATATTGGCATCTCTTTTATATTGCTTATGTATATGCATAATATATCTTCTTATTTTATGCACAATATGTTGTTCCACTAAACCATGTACTACCAGAGTTGTAAGTTAATGAAATGAATTTTAATAATTGGCAATTTTTAAAATGTAAAGTACATTTTTAAAAGTAAAATATCTTTATGATGAGAGAAGCATTTAATACACAGGAAGGTAATGCTTTTTTGATATGGGAAGGGGAAATGATAAAAACTTGTAATGGTCTTTCCATTTTTAAGTTTCAATTTTACTTTCAGTTGAAAATCGAGTGCGTCCGTTAGTTCTGGTGATTAAGAAGTGGGCAAATCACCATGAGATAAATGATGCCAGTCGTGGTACTTTAAGCAGCTATAGTCTTGTGTTGATGGTTTTGCACTATTTACAAAGTAAGTATTATGGATTTTCCCAATTTCTAAAAACTGAAATGCAGTAAAACTTCATTATGGTGTCTTCCCTATTGACTCTTGTCTTCATATAGCATTGCTTTAAAATGTTCTTTCTAAGACCAATAAGGCTATATTTTTTATTTTTATCTTCAACTAGTGTTAGAATTGTTATTCCATGGAAAACATTATAAAGAAGTTTCACTGTATTTTAAAAATTTTTATAGTTTTTTATTTTACTTTTTATTTCGAGAACTTTAATTGTGGGCATATTTCAGAAGGTCTATAAAAATAAGTTTTAAGTACTATTCATCATCTTGATTAATTTTCATATAAGCCAGAAATTACATGATTTCATAATGGTCAAGATGCTTTTATTTTCTATATATTGGCATGGAGATTGGGTAAAAAAATTGATGTTAATGGGCAGAAAACCTTTTGCCAGTATGCCTGTTTCTGATTTGTCTGGATTAAAGATTTTTCCACATTTAAAATTAGTGTTGTAATATTCAGATTTAATAGGAAATTCACATAGAAACTAAAAGTCAAATTTATAAGATATAAGAAGATATTCATGATAATAATAGTTTGTTTCAAGATAGTTTTATTTTAAAAATTGCAATAACTTCATAAGTATATTAATTTAAAATATATTTACATTAAAAATGAAAATACAGTAATGACCATATTTGAATTTTCTTATATGTTCATGTACATACAAATATTGTAAAAGGTATATGCTGACATTTATTAGGACTTATTTAGAGATTGTAGAACTTATTTGAACTGTGTGATCAGATGAAATTTTTTTATGAGAATCTTAAAATAGTTTAAATGGGCCATAATTTTATGAGTAGTCTTCTGCAAGTCTGTATAGTTTTTCTCTTAAAAATGCTACTAATCAAATTTTTATTGCCACTCAGTATTGAATATACACTAGCTTGATGTTTGACTTGCCCCAAAGGATTTTAAACATGTTGATAGTTTTAAATAGAACTCTGTCCTCTTGTGATTTGTAATGTGTATTTATTAACAATTGAATGGAATTGTGTGCCAATGGAATAGGTTGAGTGGTCAGGGCTGCATGCCATGTGTGTGCAAGGATCTTAGTTCTATCTCTGGCACCCTTGCCCCACTCCCCCAGCACTTCAGGGAGGCCTCTGTGTACTGCTGGACCTGAGCAACACCGCATCACTGGGCCTGAGCATTAAACCGTCATGCCCAGCTGGTTGAATGTCACTGGGAGTCGATCCCAGGCCATCTGATCATTATTTGGTGAGAGGACCCAAAAACAAATGGTTCCCTAAACCTTGACAGAAGTGATCGCTTTGCTGGGGCCCGGTCTGCCTCTCCCCCACCCCTCTCCTAAAAAAAGAATGTAATTTTGTGATTTATAATTTAGATTTGACTAAAGCATTTAACATGAATGAATGTTCATTATGTGTGCCCTTATTTCCTTATTACAGATTGCATTAGAAATTTTTTTGGTGGGGGCAGGGTGGGGGCTGGGGGCACATTCCGTGGAGCTCGGGCCTTATCCTGGGGTATGCACTCAGGGATCATTCCTGGAAGGCTTGGGGACCATAGTGTCAAAGATTAAACCTCAGCCAATCTGTGCAAGATTAGTGCCCTGCCTGCTGTACTATTGTTCTGGCTTCAGACATGTTTTATTTTTTAACAGAGTGATTCTATTTGTTGAAGCAGTTTCAAATTAGTGGTACTATCAGCAACTATTTCTAAGTCTTTCTTAAAGAATTTCTACCCAGAACCGTTATATAATTCTGTACTTTGGCAAATTGAAGCTTTTTCTTCCTAGAAGAAAGTAGAAACACAAAGAAAGTGCTTTTCTGGTCAAGTAGTCTAGACTTTGGACACAAAGGGTGTCTTGAGTTCTTCTTTCTCTTAAAGTAAACTAGCTTTTGTGATTTTTGGCCAAATTTTTCTCCTCTCAGGTCTTCGTATTCTTATTTGTAACATGAACATTGAATTCGTTAATCTTTAAGTTTCACTTAATTTCTTAAATGCTTTAATATCTTTTTTATCATGATCAGAGAAAGGTTCTCTGTGCTGAAAGGTTGAAGAGATTAAAACATTTCTTAGAATGAGTTATAACAGTAAATAATTGTATGCAAATGCTTTAAAAGGTAACTGATAAAAAGAATCCTTTCTGAGAAGAGATTTTAGTGGCAAGCTATGATTAAGAGATAATAAAGATGAAAATATCCATCGAGCAAATCCATTGGTTAGAAATAATATAAATTATTTTCATCAAATATTTTACCATATTACCAGATACAGATATAATTGATTTGGGGGTATTTAAAAGTTATTTTTGCATTTTCAAGATTAATGCTGTTTAGTATTGTAAATGGTTTAGTGTTGTTGAAGGTCTGTTTTCTTTGTTGTTAAGTTGGATTTGAGAGAGCTCAAAGGATTAGAGTGCATGCTCTTTAGGTAGAAGACCCAGATCAATCCTCAGCACTGTAGGGTCCCCTGAGTAATGCTGGAGTAGTCCTGGTGGCTCCAGAGCATGCTTGTGGCATCACTTGGCCTAGCAACTCTACATCATTGCCCCTGAGCATTGAACTTTCAGGCCTGCACAGCTGGGTTGCGTATTGCTACAAATAGCTTGAGTTTATGTCTAGGGAATTGGAGAGTTGAGCATTTGCATGCCTTGGGGGTGTGTGGGGGGGGTGTTTGTATGTTTCCTGAACTGGGAATGACTGGTAAGTAATGAAGCAGTTTTTTCAACCCTGATAAGATTTCTTATATTGTCAGCATTTCAGACTGTCATGAAATTGTAATTCATTTAAATTTTCAACTAGGAAATGAAACATGATACAAAATGGAAAATTAACAAGAGAATTCTCCATATTATATGTTAGAAATTTATACATTTGTAACCAAAATTGGAGACAGTATAAGCAGGTCATAATCATCAGTTAATTATATGTATATTTATATTGTCATTCAAAATAAAAATGAACTAAATATTCTTTTGTTATGGACAGTTAATCAACATCCCATTATGTTTTAGGTATACGAAGTGAATTAAAGATCTTTTGTTCCTAAGTTTATTATATACCTAAATCTTGGATAATTTATTACATGATACTTGTGTTTGCTCTATTGCCTTAAGGAAATAATGAAATGCAGTATTTGTATCTTATCGGACAGAAAACATTTTAAAGTATTTCTTGTATCATGGTATTTAATGCAGCACATAAAGATGATTATTCCTTTGTAGAAAATTTTATTTTATAGCAGTCTGAGTACAAATCTCCAAAAGTTTATTTCTAAACTTTACTGGGGCTTTTATGAAAACTTAATTTATGAAGTTGAAGATTTTTTTCATATTTTTACTAGAACAATTTTAAACTGTTTTAGTTTTTTTTCTGTGGAAGAAATTAAATAATAAAGGGAAGTTTAAGATAGAAATGTTATTCTGTAGTATCATTAAACTGTACTTTAAAATTATTTTTAATAGCTATTGCATCTTAACGATGTTCATTCAATATCTGTAGAGCAATCCTTGTCGTGCTTATTTTGTGTGTGTGTCTGATGTGGGATCAGATGATGTTTGTCCATTTATTGAAGGCTTATTACTCTAAATCCTTGTAAGGAACAATGGTTTATGTAGACATATACGTAGTTTATTTACAAATTTTAAATTGTCAATTTAGGTAATACTTTGAATTTAAATTTTAGTAATCAGAATTAATTTCATAAAATATATGAAAATGTTGTATCTTGACATTAACCCTTACAGTGTCATACCTGGGGTATAACTGACAGATTAATTGCTTTGTAAAGTGAATTATGTGAATCACGGAAGCTTTAAACTTTTTCTTTTTATAGCCCTACCTGAACCCATCCTTCCATCCATCCAAAAAATTTACCCAGTAAGTGTTTCTTATAAATTATTTCAATACATATTATGACAAGTTAATGTGGAAGAACTCTAAGTATTAATGTGATTATAAAATAATAATAGTTACCTTTTAAGTATAGGGTAACTTTTTTTTTAATAGAGGCTAAGGCATTGACCCCTAGAATAGTAAAAATGTTTCATATTTTTTTTTAGGTATTTATTTGGTTATTGACAGTCTGATCTTTTATATTAATGATAAAGTTTTTTGCATGATGCTCATGATTATCACAAGTAGAAAGTAAATATAGGTTTGTCAAAGCCCATTTGGACTCATTCCAGCTTTCTTGATGGTTTTTAAAATACAGTTTTGCAGCTTTAGTTAGTAATTGAGAAATTTTGTAGGCCAGTGTAGGCATACTTTGAAAGTAGAAGAAAAATTAAAGAGCTGAGCGCTGTATTATTTTTAAATTTTTACTGCGTTTACAAATAAAACACCAAAGAAGTAACTTTAGTACACCATACTTTTGTGTTAAGGAACCTATTGGATCTATATATATCAGCTTGGGAAAGTTACTATGTAATCAGTTTGAGTTTAGGAAATCTAGATAATGTACACACTCATAATTTATAGGAATGCTTTTGTTTCTTTCCTGTTTTCTTTTGTGTGTGTGTGTTTGTGTGTGTGTATGTGTGTGTATGTTTTCTTTTTTCCAGAACTTTCTGTTTCTTTGTTTGATAGTCCTACCATTCTGTTTATCTTCATAGTCATTCTTGTTTCTGGTTTTACTTAGATATAATATTTAAATATGCATATGTTTCACCTGGTAATTTACAATATGAAAGGAGTTGTTTTGTAAATATAATAAATGGTCATATTACAGAGGAAAATAATCAATTTGAGTGACGATTATTTTAATGTAAAAAATGAAATAACCAGAAAGTATAGAGCAAAAATAACAAACTTTGAGTCTTAGAGTGTTTTCATGTCTTCATAAAGTATTGATTGGTTTTTTTTTCCCTTTATTTTATTTTCTCATGGGGAATCTTAGACAGTGGAACTTGTCAGGGTCACCTTCTTGTCTGCAGCAGCACTTGGGTTTGAAATGCCAACCTTTAGCTGGCTAGTATACTAGGCAATCACTTGACGCCATTGAGCCATTTTCTAGGTTCCAAAATTGATTCTGTAATTCATACTGAAAGATCAAAGATAATGACTGTGAGTGTTCAATATTTCATTTTATTGCCCCTACTTTTTTTTTTCTTTAAGACCTAGATTTGAGTATAGAGAAAGCCTCATATCATAAGCATATTTATCATAACAAGGATGTAGAGGCTGGAGAGATTATACAGCTGTTAAGGCATATACCTTGAACACAGCTAACCGAAGTTAAACCTGCAGCACTGAATATTGTCCTTTGAGTATAAGGAGTGTGGCCTCCTCCCCTCAAAGGATGTAATAGTTAAATTTATTCTTTACCGCATCTATTACTGTGTATTAAAAACATACCTGTAGAGATAGCTCTCTTAAAACTCTGTGTTACGTGAACCTCTTTTTACTAATATCAAAAACAATGAAATCTCAGATTAATGTACTATATTGGACCTAGAGGTTCCTACTCTTCTAGTTTGAAAAGCTTTGTTTTCTGTTTCTCATTTTTCTAGTTATCTACTCCGCCTTCATGACAAGTTCTGACTTTCTTAACATGTACGACCTCTGAATCTGTCCCTGTTTTACTAATGATTCTATATCTGTATCTTTAGTGGGGAAATAGATTTAGTACTAACTGCCCCAAGGACTTAAAATCTAAAATCTGTTAGATTTTGCCCCTCCTTAATTTTTAAAAAATTTAGTGTTATAGGTGAGCAGAAGTTTCAAAAAACTTTAGACATTATTAAAATATTACCATTTTCCCATAAAATTTTTCTGTCCCAGGAAAAACCTGTTAAAGAATAATCTGGTTTTCTGAGTATATTGTCATTAATATTTACATGACATTATTTTTATGCATTATTATTATTGCTTACATGGGTAAGACTCCTCTTAAAAAGTTTTTATTTTATATGAAAACTGTAAACTTACCTTCAGAACACTTCTCTTAGTGATTCTGTTGAAACAAGCAAATTAGATTCATTCTTATGATTAAGGAGATTCATTTATTTAATATTGATTTTTGTCAGCACACTCTAAGTTTTATATGCAATAATATCTTTACTCCTAAACAAATAAGCTGGGTAATATATCATCTCTGTTTCATAGATAAAGAAATTATTATCTGAAGTCTTAGATGATAACATGATTGATCCATGGTATATAGCCACAAGTTTAAGAATCCAGAAACTAATATTTTTTATTATACTATACTGCTTGGGGGAACAAAATGACAAAAGAGGGGGAAAAATGATCCACTGACATTTTATCTAATTTCTGTTACTACATCATTTTATTTGTATATATCTGTTAGTTCCTTTACAGATATACGTTTCTATAAGAGAAGCAGATACGACAGAATTTTAGTTTATATAAATCTGAAAATGACTTAAAACCTTACAATAACAAAAGCTTTGTATTTCACACAAGAACAAACATTTAGAAAATTTTCGCTTTTTATAATATATATTTTATATAGTATATAGTTTATATATAGCATATATAGTATAGATTATATGGAATATCATTAAAATTAAGTTTTTAATTGTTATGAGAGTTTGGAGTGAATAAGTATTGCCCAATATTTTTAGGGTTATTTTAGTCATGTTTATATTTTATCAAAATTTATAATGAAATAATTAAAAAAATTAATAGTATTTTAGGGTTCAGAGAGAGAAAGTATAGCAAATAAGACCTTGCATGCCTGTCTGTACAGGTTTAGTCCCCTAGCCCACTCTGTTCCTGAGTATTGAGCCAGGAGTTAGCCCTGAGCACAGCTGAGTGTGGCCCCAAAACAAAACAAAACAAAATAATATTTTAATTTATGGTATTTTGAAAGAAAATGATCAACTGAAAATATGCCTAGCTTCAGAAACTATAGCATTGATAATTGCTACTTATTGCCTTAAATAGTACATGTGTTAGAATATTGACTATTGAGTTTAATAAATTGTATAGTAAGTAAAGTAAAGGCCCTCCCGTTGTTCATCGATTTGCTTGAGCGGGCCCAGTAACGTCTCCATTGGAGACTTTGTTGTTACTGTGTCTGGCATATCAAATACGTCACAGGGAGCTTGCCAGGCTCTGCCCTGCGGGCGAGATACTCTTGGTAGCTTGCCGGGCTCTCCAAGAGGGGCGGAGGAATCGAACTCGGGTCGGCCATGTTGGCTGTGTGCAAGGCAATTGTATATGGACTCAAAATAAGCTCAAGAAGAAATTTTTATTTTTTAATTTTTTTAGTGAAGCAAGATAGTTTTTATTGAAATTTACTTGGAAAGTAAGGGGAGAGAAAGAGGAATACGTGCTCAGGAGACATTATGGGCTTGAATGAGCAAGCTCAGATTTTAATTTTTATGCAGGCTTATATCATTGGATTTAATCTAGATAGTTATTGACGACTTGTATTTGTTTCTTTCCCTAATCATACTATCTTCTAGGAAACCATATATGCTAGCAGAATAGATCTGTAAGAAATTAGCTGTTTTAATTAGGAATTGAGTTCTGAGAATATAGTTACTCTATGCAGTTGTTGAAATGCATTAGGTTTTGTTCACATTTATATAGAAACATCAGTTTTATTTATTTTCCATGGGTTTTTGTTGGGGTCACACCCTGTGGTTCTCAGGACTTCGGCCTTCGCACACAGGGATGACTCTGGGAGGGACTTGGGGGTCCATATTGGGTGCCTGAATTGAATGTGGTCAGGTGCTCTTGCAAGACTGTGTTCTCTCTGGCCCCAAACATTTCAGCTCTAACTGCATATATTGTGGTAAAGAATATTTAATTTATTACATGAAACAGGCTATAAATTATTGTCTTTGAAAAGACAAAAATTTGGGTAACTTATTTTTAGATGACAAAAAATCATTTAAAGTTCACTTACATTGCAAAAATCACAAGGAAGTGAATTTTGAAATAATACTTAAATTTATTATAGTAAAGTGTATAGTTATAAAAATAATGATGCCTGGTGTATACTAAGTAAATTATAGTAATACTGTTGCTACTGTATTTTACATATATCATTGAATCTTCATAGCAACCCTGTGAGTACTATTGTTTTTCTTATAGATGAAGAAGCTGAGCCTATGGAAAAGCTAGGTAACTTTAAGTTTCATATAGCTAATAGAAGAGCAAGACCAGATCTTAATCTGACTCCAAAAATTCATGCTCCATTCTGTTAAATATATTTAGTTCAATACTTGTAAGAATTGCCACCAAAATTAGGTAAAATTTAAAGGAAATGTAATGACTGTTTGTTACAGACTAGCCAGATTTAATATACATCACTAGGGTTAGTGATCTCCAAACATGAAATTGTGGTGGAACTTCATTTTATTCTTTGCTATTCAGGAAGAGTTCTAATAGCCTGTATGAGTTACTCTTTTTTTTGAGACCTTTCTCATTATTTGTTTTTAGAATCTGATGTTTCATATTGTTAGAATACATATGCTAGTTTCCCTAAGTGTTAGAAAACAGTTATCTTTCGTTCAGAACATGCATTGATTTACAGAACAGTTCTACCAAGTGAAATTTAGTCAGTCTAGTTTATTCCAGAAAGCACTTAATTTTCCAAATTTCCAACATTGAAGATAAAATCAGATATGATAGAATCTGTCAAAAGTTCTTTTCCCCCCTCTACTTTTGGTCAGCAAAATGGAATTTTTTCAGGGTAAAAATGGAAAAATTTGAGACTTTTTTTAACGTATTGCCTTTAAATTTCTTGGTAATAATGACAGAAAATGAAAGATAATGTGTCTTTAAAAATACCAGGGTATAAAAACATCAGAAGACCATGTTAGAAGTTAAGTGATTATTATACATTTGATTACCAGAAGTCCTCCCCTAGATACAAGTTTAAAAAGCAAATTGGAGTGCTGCAGAGATAGTACAGGAAGTCAGGCACTTGCCTTAAAAAGCAAATGACCCTGATTCAAATTCCTTTCACCACATATGGTCTCCTGCGCACCTCACTACTGAAGTGTTCACTCCTGAGCACAGAGCTAGGAATTATTAGTTGTGGTTTCTAATTAGATCCTAAATTTAAAAAGAAAATTTGTATTGCTGATTCAGTTCTCCTTCTGTATGTATATAACATGTCCTCTTTTGTACATGATCATGATAGAACAGTGGACATACTATCCAGGTTTATTAAGCATTAGTAGGTATTATAACTTAAACAGTTTTAATTTCACAGTTTCCAATCTTTAATTTATAGGACAAAATAAAAACATTAAAAGGTGTTCCCAAGAGTTTTAAACTTCAAGTAAAAAAATTACTACCTATTTTCAGCATTAGTTCATAAATTCACTGCTAATTGTGTTGGATGCTAGAAGTAAAAAAAAAAATCAGTGGACAAACTTCTAAGTAATGATCTACTTTCCTTTGTCACTTGAATGTCGGTTATACCTTTGTGTTTAATTTACCAGAAAATATTTTAAAATTTCAATTTTGAATAATGCCCAGCGGGTAGGGCTTTTGCCTTGCACGCGGCCAACCCGGCTTACCCTGGTTTGATTCCTCCGCCCCTCTCAGAGAGCCTGGCAAGCTACCGAGAGTATCTCGCCCCCACGGCAGAGCCTGGCAAGCCCCCCCCCGCCCCCTCCCTCTCCCCCCCATAATGTATTCAATATGCCAAACACAGTAACAACAAGTCTCACAATGGAGATGTTACTGGGCCTGCTCGGGCAAATCAATGAACAACAGGAGGACAGTGCTACAGTTACCTTAATTAAAATTTTAAAGTTAATAAGGAGAGAAACCGTGATATAAGCAGTATATTTGCTCTTCTGCCTTTACCCTTGAGGCTTTTTTTCCTACTTGCCCTCTTTAGAAACAAAAAGGTTCCAACTTGGGTCTTACAGGTAATCCAAAATCCATTAAAAAGTGTAAGAAGTTCCAAGTTTTAGGAGTGGCAGCTTTGTGAATTGTGATTGGAGCATATTTTTTTGCCTGAGAGAAAGATAATAATTTCTTAGAAATTAAATTTTATTATAGATTTACATAGAATATGATGAAGGAACATTTTTCTTTTTTGCTCTGTTTTGTTATTATTTTTGGTAATGCTAGGGATCCAACTCAGGGCTTCACATGTGTGAGTCACACGTTCTACGGCTGAGCCACATCCCCATTCCTTTTGCTTCTTTGTTTTTGCTGAAGACTTTGAGGATTGCCGTTACATAGGTCTCCTATCCTGTTTCTAAACATTACCATTAGGGTTATTTGAGTTGCCTCTTTTTTCTTTAAGGTTGAGATTATTTAGTTGTTACTAATTGAATTAATATGCATAAACTCAGACTTGATCTGTTAAGTAATTGGGGGCATAGTTTTAAATGTTATTCTGCTTCTGTTAACCTTAATTGCTTAAAGTAAAATTTTCTGCTTTTTTGACAAAAGAAAAACAGGAAAAAAAAATAGATTGGTAGTTCATTTGGCAAATTAATTTTATTAGAGTTAGAAGCTGTTGCTAAGAGACCAGTTATTAAAATGAATGGCATACCAGAGGCCAAAAAAAAAGCAATAGGTTCTTATTAATATCCCAAATATTTTCTTAATTCTGGGTAATCTGGGTTGCATGCAAATACTATTTTCCCCTGTAAATGTTGTGGTAAAAGTTTGACAAATATTGCATGGTGGTATGTTTCCTTAGCTTTTCTCACCTCTGTCTTCTCAAGGTCAACTCACGTTGAATGTCTATATACTCTTACCTTTAAGTTGCTATTAATACAAAAACAAAAGAAAACAAATTTAAAGATCATAAAATTAGTACAAGTACTCTATACATATTGTTACTCTTATGGCTTTTGAGACTAGTATTGTTATAGAAAAAAATTCTTAATCTTATGCTTAATTATCTCCATAAATTATAATTTCTCCCGATAGAAATAATAACAAAGGATACATTTATAAAGAAATCTTATATATTACTGGATGGAATCTTGGTTTGTTCAATAAAGTTTATTTATGAGTGAAACATAATTTATTTCTATAGGAATCTGTTTAGCTGAATGGTACCCGTTAGCTAAGGTTTAGTATATTTTAGTTTTTCAGGTTCTTTCAGATCCACTCCGAACACTGTTGAAATCTTTGGTGGAAGGAAATCTTCAAATTTACAAATTATCAGTGTAGGGAAAATTGCTTCTCTCTTAAGAAGATTGACAGGTCAGGATTTATACAGATATTTAGTGTTTCTTGAATTATATTATATTTCTCTGTTTTTCTTTTTAACAGGAAACTTTTAGTCCTGCCATACAGCTGCACCTTGTACATCAAGCTCCATGTAATGTTCCTCCTTACCTCTCAAAAAATGAATCAAATCTTGGGGACCTCTTACTGGGCTTTCTTAAATACTATGCTACAGAATTTGAGTAAGTGAAGCTTCATAATTTCTTTATTTATATAGAAGTGAATGTAAGAAATTTGGTCAGAAGCTATACTTTCAATTTCAGTACTGTAAACTTGTTCAAAAATGTGGAATTTTAAAAGTGTGATATCTAATAATTATTGAAAACAATATATTTCACATTCGTAGCTAATAGAAATTTTAGTTCAGTATGCAAAAATTAACTTCAATAGTTATAGTGTTTTATGTTTACCTACCGTGTTCCACATGAGTATCTGAATGTTTGTCCTGTTTAAGGTTCTGTATAGTTTGGAAACTTTATTTTCTAAGAAGTTGAAACCTGTAGTTGAAAATGCAGGTAAAACCAGCTTGGGGTAAAAATCTACTTAATGCTTGATATTTGAATAAATAGTTGTGTTAATATGATATATAATCCAAGGTGCCTTCACCCCCTTCCCATGAAGGGATGGTATGTAAACATGGAAAATTAAATGTATAAACAGGGCTGGAGCAATAGGTGACAATTTTGCCTACTCTTTCACCATCAAGTGTGTTTGTAAAGGCCATTGATGTTTCATGCCAGATATTTGCAGAAATTTGACAGTAGAGAGTACATCCCAAAATGTAGTTAGTCTTGGTAATGAAATAGGTGCTGTGCAAAAAATTCTGGGAGCACTTGGAATGTTTGTACGTATTTCTTCTGAATCTTGAGATACTCAATTTTAAAATTCTATTTACTTGGAGATTTAAAAAAAATAAATATCTTGGGGTTGGAGCAATAGCACAGCGGGTAGGGTGTTTGCCTTTCACACAGCCAATCTGGGTTCGATTCTCAGCATCTCATATGGTCCCCTGAGCACCACCAGGAGTAATTCCTGAGTGCAAAGCCAGGAGTAACCTCTCTGCATCTCCAGGTGTGACCCAAAAATACAAAAAATAAATAAATAAATGTCTTATGGGATGAACGTTGCAGAAGTTTTATTTAATCATTGAAATATTACTAATTTTTTTTACCTTGCTTTATTTACAGTTTTGTCCTAGACCTTGCTAGTCAGATTCTTAAAATGAATCCTAAGTTCTAGAACTATACTGATAAACCCGCCCACCAAAGGAAATTTTTAAAAAGAAAAGAAAGGATCAGATGACTTGGAGCTGAGAAAAATACATAGTCATAATGTAGTAATTTTTTATTCAATCAAAACTAAAGAAATTCTAAGTTCTAAATAGTCTCATAGATTATTGGAAATTCTAGGAACCTTATAAATTACTATTTTATAATCCGCTTATTCTGTAGATAATCCAATCACATTGCCATTATTGGTCATCTGTCAGTTGAATTAAGCATATGATCTTCCATTTCAGATAAATGCAGTTTCTTAAAAAATACAAGAGCTCTGAGTTATTTCCTTCCTTGTTCTGAGTCTTTCCTTTTATTTAATCGCCAAGTACCCGCTTTATTCTAAGCTATTTTCTATGTACTGGCGATATAGCACTTAACAAAACAAAACAAACTTGTTTTCCTGGAGCTAACCATGTTGTACTGGAGATAAATCATAAGTACTATATGATTTGTTATGTAGAGAAGAAAGCAAAAGCATAAAAGAAAACCCTGGTTCTGGTAAAAAAAAAAAGATGAATAAAGATTGTTAGAGAGGGTGGGTTGAGTTATTTCTCTCTGGATGAAGATAGAAATATAGAAGAGCTTGCTTTTTTGTTAATATTAAACTAATGAACACAATAGCACATCTATTTTATTTTAGTCCAAAAAATATGCAATTTTCATACTTTGTATCTAGATGCTCTAATCCTGTTCTATACTTGTCAAAGCTGAGGTGAGGGTTTGCCAAACAGGTTCAAGGAACATCAAAGGGACCAGATAACTAGAAGACAGTAGGAGGAAATGCTGCAGAGTTAAGTAAAGTCACATCATGTAGGGTTTTGTAGTTCATTTTGCTAACTTGAACTTTTTCTCTGAGAGATATGGGAACCACTGGAGAGGTTTTTGTTTCTTAAATATTTTATTAGTGAATCACCATGAGGTACAGTTAGTAGACTTACAAACTTTTGTGCTTGCGTTTCAGTCATACAATGATTGAATACCCATCCCTCTACCATGCCCATTCTCCACCATAAATGATCCCAGTATCTCTCCTACCACCCCCACCCCACCCCTCTTGCCCCACCCCGCCTCTGTGGCAGGGCATTTCCTTTTGTTCTGTCTCTCCTTTGGAGTGTGGTGTTTTGCAGTAGAGGTATTGAGTGGCCGTCATGTTCGGTCTCTAGTCTACTTTTGGCACACATCTCCCATCCCGAGCGGGTCCTCCAAATATCCTTTACTTGGTGGTCCCTTCTCTATCTGAGCTGCCTTTTCCCCCAGCATATGAGGTCGGCTTCCACGCCATGGAGCAGACCTCCACTGGAGAGTTTTCAGTGAGATATATAATTTTATTTAGATTATGACAAGTTCATCTTGGTGACTGATAAGAAAAGAGTTAAGGGAACCAATGACAGAATCAAGGAGAGATAAAGCAGTAATCTAAGAGACGTTATATGGCTTAGGTAAAGATGGTTCCTAAGGAAATAGAGGAGAAATGATTAGATTTTGTGTATTTTGATTTGCAATAAGTTAGATACTGGTACAAAAAGAGTATAGGATGCCCTTTCATGTGATGGGGAAGACAAGGGAAGATAAAGTAGAGATACTGAATTAAGAGTTGGATATGCATACAAATCTAGAATTCAGGAGAAGGATTGTGATTAAAACTGTATTTGGGGGTCCGGGGCGATAGCACAGCGGGTAGGGCATTTGCCTTGCATGCGGCCAACCCGGGTTCCAATCCCCGGCATCCCATATGGTCCCCCAAGCATTGCCAGGAGTAATTCCTGAGTGCAGAGCCATGAGTGACCCCTGACCATCGCTGGGTGTAACCCAAAAAGCCAAAAAAAACCTATTTGGGTAGGTAAGGGATATTTAAAATTATAAAAGTACTTGAGTAAAATAAGGGAAATTAAGTAGAAAAGAGAAATGCCAGAAAGATTAAAAATGCTTATATTCTCTAGTGTTGAGATTTATAGAAAATACAGAAGACACAGAAAAGTATTAAGAAATTCATTTAAAAAGACATTGAAGTGTGTGTCTTCTGTAAGACAGCAGGCCTACTTTCTTTACTAGTGTCATTGTTTTTTAAAGGAAAGGACTTTTGTTTTTCTTTTACTTTTCATTTGGGCACTGTGGTTTGCATTATTGCTAATAGTTTCAGGCATATGGTATTCTGCCACCTACAACCAGAGTGTCAGTGTCCCTCCAACGGTGGGTCAAGATCTCCTCTCATCTACTCATCATAACATCTTGGTGGACTCGGGTGATTCTCAAAGGATGTAACTATTGGCTGGCTGTTATTCCCTTATTATGTTTCTTTTTATCCACATTTGAGAGAGATCATTCTGTTTTTCCCTCTTTGACTTCACTCTTCCAAATTCCCTCTAGCTCCATCCATATGGTTGTAAATTGCATGATCTTTTCTTTTAACCTGAGTAGTATTCCATTGTGTATATGTTTCTTCAGTTTCTCTATACACTTATCTTTTCCTGGGCACTTGGGTTCTTTCCAAATCTTGGTTACTGTGAATAGTGATTCAGTAAATAAGTAATGAAAATGTCTTTTTCAAATGTTTTGGAGCTTTGGGGATAGATGCCAAAAACTTGAATTGCTGAATCATATGGAAACTCAGTCCTTAATTTTTGGAGGGAGGTAGAGGGTGGTCTTTCACTTCTGTGCTTATTTTACTTAGTATAATTAACTCCAGGTCTATCCATTTTTGTTCCAAAAGCTACTATTTCATCTTTTTTAAATGGCAGAACTGTGTTCCTTGGAATATGTGTACAGTATTTTTATCCAGCCATCAAGTGAGCTGATACTTTATTGTAATTTCATTTTACATTTCCCTAAGAATAAGTGATAGCATTTTTTTTAATGTGTAAGTAAATCATCTGTATGTCTTTGGAGAAGTGTCTTTTGCCTCGTTTTAATTAGGTTTCTTGCTTTATTTTTGGTGGAGTTGTGCGAATTTATATAATTTGGGTCCCAACCCTTCATTAATAACTTTTTCTCAAGTAGACATTGGAGCCTCTCGCAGTGCTATTTATCCAGTTGGGCCTGCTGTCCAGTACAAGGCTGAGGACATGGTGTAGCATGGACCCTGCAGTGCTGGAGGTTAGCCAGACCTGCAGTACTGGGATCTCTAGGGCCACACTAAGTAGGGTTCAGGGTGCCACATGGATTGAGGTCAAATCTTGGTTGACAGCATTTCAAGGCATGTGTGTATTAGCTCTCTGACCCCATATAAAAGCTTTTAAATTTGATGTCATCTCATTGGTTTATTCTTTTGTTTTCTTTGCCATTGGTCCAATTGTATTTTTAATGTTGAGGTTCTAGAGTGTATCATAGTGTTTTCTTCTATATATTTTAAGGTTTTGGGTGTAATATTCAAGTCTAATTCGTTTTGAGTTCATTTTTTATGTGATTAAGTAGTGTTGGAGCAATAGCACAGCGGGTAGGGCATTTGCCTTGCACACGGCTGACCTGGTTGACCCAGGTTTGATTCCTCCGCCCCTCTCGGAGAGCCTGGCAAGCTACCAAGAGTATCTCGCCCGCATGGCAAAGCCTGGCAAGCTACTCGTGACATATTCGATATGCCAAACACAGTAACACGTGTCATAATGGAGACTTACTGGACCCACTCGAGCAAATTGATGAACAACGGGAGGACAGTGACATTGACAGTGACAGTGATCTTTTTACATATGGCTGTCTTGTTTTCTTAATATGTATGTTTCTGGTTTTTTTTTTCTATTCCATTGGTCTGTGTGCCTGTTTTTATCTACTGTTTGTATATAAACAAAACCCAAATTTCAATTATGTTGCTTAAAATAAAGTTTGAAGTCAAAAGAGTGTGATGCTTCCAATTTTCTTTTCTCCCTGAATTGCTTTAGCTATTTGGGGTCTTTTTTGTTTCTCTACAAATT